TGCTCTGATTTTGGGAGATAAGAGAACATATGCCATATATCATTCGTCAATGCTCACCTATTAAAAAACCAGGAATTTTTAAAGTAGTGTTAGCTAGCTGGAGACAGAGGAAGTTAACACTGGCTTTATTTAAAGTAGTTTGTGTCCTGCTAAACAGTTAGGTCAAGTTATACTTCACATGGTCTTTGATCCAAAGATATATTTAAACAGTGCAAATTAAATGAACTTAGAATTTTCCCCAAGTATCACTTTACCTTTACTAAGAACTGAATAGCAGGCAGGTTGGATTTGTTACCTTTTAAAGGGGGCCATAAATAAGAGTCACTGTTGTAAATAGTGGGTACACATTGGGCAGCTAGCTATAGGGTCAGAAGTTTGAAACCACCAACTGCTATGTGAGACAAAGGTGGGGCTTTCCACTCATGTGAGGATTTACAGTCTTGGAGACTCACAGGGGCAGTTCTACCCTGTCCAGTAGTGTTGATAGGAGTCAGCATCGACTCAAGGCAGTAACTTTGGTTTGGTACAATGAGTAAGGAGCCGGACAGTGTAGTGGGTCACCTATTTGAGCCCACCGTTGCTCTGCAAGAGAAAATTATTACACTTCCTGGTGCCATAAAGATTTATCGCCTCAGAGATCCACAGAAGTTCCACCCTGTGCTATATGGTCACAATTAGTCATAATCGAATGACAGGGAGTCAGCTTGCTACAATAAAGTCTGACACCTGCAACACTCTAACGTGCCCTCACGCCTTCTATATGTGCCCACGTGCCTTTTCAATTTTCTTCTTTATTTTCCACTCTCCTCAAGCTGTGTCTGGCTTCACTGTATCTGCCTGGTTTATATCGCACAGCCTCTCATACTAAAAGAAAAACCTAACTGATTCCTACTCACAATGACCCTACCAGAGAAGAACTGCCCCTTTGGATTTCCAAACCTTTAAATCTTTTGAAGAATGCAGAGTAACTGATAGATTTGAACCACTGACCTTATGATTGGTAGTTAAATGTGTAACCAATTAGTTACCATGGGTCCATATAAAGCTTCCCTTGGAAGTCAGTCCATTAACACCTAATTGTTTTTCAAATATTTCTTACATTTTTTCCCTTAGCCTATAATTTATGGGTCTGAATTAGTCTCATATTTAAAACTAGTATGATAAACTCATCAATTTGAATAATAGCTGAAAATACAGTGGAACACCATATCTAAGAAACCAGAGCTGATATGGCCTATCTAATGCAATTTTCTGAATCAGGGACCCAGAAACAGGCCAAAAAACCAAGACACCAAGAAAAATAATTTTTTTTGGTAGGCTGTGTAATGGATAAGTCAACGGTTCACACCCCCTCAGCAGCTTTATGGGGGAAAAGACTTGGCAATTTATTCTCATAAAGATTTCAGTCTAGGAAATCCTCCGTGGCAGTTCTACTCTGTCATGAATGATCACTAAGAGTCGGAATCTGCTCAAGGGCACACTACAATAAACAACTCCTGCCCTAATTGAGTGTGGTGAAATGCCCTGCAAAGTTATAAGACAATAGGTAGGAAGTGAAGAGAGTAAAAGAACGGATGATGTCAACCCTCAAAGCAGACAGAAGGATACTAGGAGACCATCTTCTTTTCTTTGAAGGTTTCAAAGAAAAATAAATCACTTAAAGCCTCGCCCCCCAAAAGTACTCTTCTGTCTTTATATATAATTCTAGGGAATCGTGTCCCTTCATTGTCCAGAAGGAATGTTGAAGGCAATGAATAAATCCCCAAGCTCGTGGTCTGCTTTGCGTTGATATTGTTATAGGGCACCATCCCGACAACAGAAAGCTGCGCCTCAGAAAGCTGCTATGTAAAATCTGCTACTTGACACTGGAGAATAATCACACAGGATTGCAAAAGGGAAGACAGACACACCATTACATACTGCCATGTTATATCATTACATAATTTCCAAAGCACTAAGACTCATGCACCAGCCCAGTTGACACATAACCTCAACCATCACAGCCAGTATTATATTACTCTTGTCTAACACCTTGGGGCTCATTACTGCTACATGTTTGTTAATGCACAAAACAGGTAGTCATTTTTTACTATTGCTGTAAATATAAAATGTTGGGTAATGAGTCAGTAAGTACAGAATAGGTACATAAAAAGATAATCCAGGGAAAAGACAATAATATGCAGAACAGACAGGAAAATGCTTGGGATTCCTAAGGCATTATATTACTGTTAGAATTGGAGAAGAGAGTGTAAAATACAGAAAAGAAAATCCTGACACTGGCTCTGTCCATAGAAATCAGAAAGTGAGGGTACTAAAAGATCTTCACTAAGAGGGACAGAGACACACCTGACATGAACTCTTTGTTTGACAGCATACTGGGCTCATCAATGCATGTGGTTACTTTGATCTAAAAAGGCACACATTATTTGGCACACTCACATGCTTTGGTCATTAAGAGTCCCACTGTAGAGTAATAAATGAGCATTCTAGTGTTATTAGATATTACTTTATTTTTTACATATTCCTAAAACTGCAAACCTAGGACAGACTCAGAATCTCAATGACTTTAAAGCTGTGATATGATTTTAGGAAGGTCTATATCAAGAGGGGCCCTGGTGCATAGTGGGTTGCACACTGAGCTACTAACTGCATGGTCAGCAGTTCAAACCCAGAAGCCATTCCATGGTAGAAAGATGAAGTTTTCTCCTCCTATAACGCTTTACAGCGTCAGAAACCCACAGAGGCAGTTCTACTCTGTCCTATAGAGTCTCTATCAATCTGAATTGTTTCAATGACAGTGAGTTTGGTATTATTGTTTAGTCCATATTGCTGAGACTTGGTGGCACAATGGCTAAAAACACTCAGGGGCTAACTGAAAGATTGACCATTTGAGCCAGGTACTTGCCAGTGGAAGATGTGGCAGTGTCCTCCCATAAAGAAATGCAGTCTTGGCAACCTATGAGGAAGCTCTCCCCTGTCCTCTATGGCTGTGGTGAGTTGGAATGGGCTCAGCAGCAATGGGTTTGGTGTTTGTTTTGTTTCGTTTTGTTTTAATGGGCTTGGTTTTTGCTTTCATTTTTCTGTGTCATTAGGAATCCCCAGGCACCACAATTAAGCACTGGGCATGACAATCTATTGCTGAAAGATCACCACACTGAACATCTTTTGTGCAGTTAAGACTGTGAAGCACAAAGGGTCAGAGTATTGGGAATTAACCCAATGGCAACTGGTTTTGCTTCTCTTTCTGTTTGTGTCACCAGCTATTCTCCTCAGGCAACAATCCAGGAATGCAGTCACCCATTCCAACTGAAAACAAGCTTTTTTTTTTCTTTTTAATTTAGACATTTTAGAAAGACTTCACATGAAACCAATACACAAATGACAAGGTTGGACCACGAGCATACATTTATTAGTCATGTCCGAACATGCTGACCATTGACAGCTACATATAAGATACAGCTACCTATGTAGTATGTGCTCCGTGTAGACAGCACATCACAGCTTGACAACCAGAATTGTTCTCACGGACAGAACGGCCTAAGAATATTTTACATGCCACCTGTTTCTCAAATCTCACCCACCACTGCTCTACAGTCACTGTGGCCAGACACTCTGACACAATGACATGCTTGTTAGTTTAATTTTCTTCTTTGAGCATCCACTAGTCTAAGTCAACAGCTGAGAACTAACCACTCCTTTAACATTGGGATATTGTTGATATGTAACACTTTTTAATACTTTTGCTGACAGAAAACAGTTTATTTAAGTTCCATTAAGAGCAAAAAACAAATTTCAAAACCAAGAACCAGAATAAGATAGTTCAGGATTCCATATATAATTCTCCAGAAAGCACCTTAAGCAATTATCTCTATTTTGCACATTTTAAAATAAAACCTGTCCTCATTCAATTAAACAGCACTATCTGCTAGTCCTGTTGCCAGAAGCATATATACATAAAAAGAAGTACACAGCACAGAGTTCTGTTCATATTAGCCATACATACCAGAATGACTTCTCTACCGAGAAGGGACAGCTTAGCAATACTGTGTTAAGATGTAATTCTTACCATACCATTTCCACTAACTTTAATACTTCCCATTTTCATGACTAAATATGTTTTCTTCAGATCTTTTTTGTTTTGTTTTAAAGTACCCAATGAGACCAATTTTGGGTACCATCTTGCATCTGTGTGTTCCTACCTTACGGGTAAGGTTTAAATAGCATAGGACCGTCCACTGAAAGGTAAATATGAAAGCTGTATAAATTTTCAAAACAGAAAGATGTCGTTTTGAAATGTCTTTTGATCTGATCTCTCTTTCTAATAACACAATTCGTCACTACTATTCAGCTAGCAAATTCAGTCTGGTGACACAGTTAACTGAACAAGTGTGATTCCTCAGACATACTGGTAAACTGTAACACTCAAATAAAATGGTGTATCTCAAATTAGTCTGAAAACATAAAGCCTGATTTTAACCAACAATTTGTATGAGAATAAAGAATGCCAACCTAAAGATACTTTGGGCAAGTGCCTGTGAGAACTGGTAACAGAGTGTGAGAGGCTCCCAACATGGGCACTGCAGACCTGTGCATGTCTGCCCTGGCCTGCGCACCACTCAAGACTCAAGGAGCCCCTCCTCTTTGCCCATTGTGGCAATGAACTTGGAACAACACAGCTTGAACTGGACTGTGATGGAGGAAAATTGGTGGGCAGTCAGTTGAGGCAGAAGCAGTAATAATACAAATAAAACGGGAAGTCAAAGTTTGTGGCAAAGTGGAGGGATATGTGTGCTTGCCCACAAACAACGGGCGCTCTTACACTCTCTTTTACAACTGAGACCTTCAGAGAGCCCTGGACGCTGAGGAAATGGAACCACCCTCCATCCTACGCCTCTCAGAGCTCCAGTTCACACAGCCACTCCAGTGCCTGCCATTGCAAATCCACAAGCAAGTACAAAACCCAGTTCAGAACTTCATTTCACCCTTCCATGTGCACATACCTTATAAAACGATCTTGAGAATTATATGTGGCAACATCTGGGAGTACCTCATCCTCGAAGAAGCTATTCTTCAATGTGTGTCTGAATTGCCTTTAAAACAAACAAACAAAAAAACTTAGCTCTTTAATCAAAGCAATCTAGTAAAAGTCTCAACACAATGTTCATATTTACCCACTTGTGTTTGCGCTTTAAAATGTTCCCTCAGTAGCGATACCATGGAGGCAAGGGGAAGGTGGGGGAGAAACCGGGAATCGACTACAATGTCCAACTTATAACCCCCACCACCCTCCCAGAAGACGAACAACAGTAGTATGTGTGAATGGAGAGGGCGG